TTGGATGCATAAAAATGGGGGGGGGGGGGAGGAAGGAAGGAAATATTGCAATGTAGTGACACAACTGTATGACCACTCTATCGGGCAAAAATTGGTAAAAAGGGAATTTCTAGGAATTTGGTTATTTCTTTAGTTAACAGAACATAAGACAATGATGACAGCAACAGCGACAACAGCAGCACATAAATGTAGAAAGATTAGCTCACTCTCACTTACATCCTTCCTGGTTTTGCACACAAATTTGTATGATGAAATTCATAGGGACATGGTGGTGCTGTGGGTTAAACCGCAGAAGCCACTGTGCTGCAAGTTTGGAAGACCAGCAATCATAAGATCAAATCCACGGGACTGAGTGAGCTCCCATCACTTGTCCCAGCTCCTGCCAACCTAGCAGTTCAAAAGCATGTAAAAATGCGAGTAGATAAATAGGTACCACCACAGTGTGAAGGTAATGGCGTTCTGTGTCTAGTTGCGCTGGCCACGTGACCACGGAAACTGTCTTTGGACAAACGCTGGCTCTACGGCTTGGAAACGGGGTTGAGCACCGCCCCCTAGAGTTGGACACGACTGGATTAAATGTCAAGGGGAACCGCTCAGAGTGGTATAAATATACCAGTTGGGTGGGGTATAAATCAAATAAATAAATAAATAACAATAAAATTTCCCTTTACCTTATAACAAATAACACACCTGAACAGAGCTGAAGACTATTAAATTTCCTGCTACACTACACTGGCATTATTATTCTAGACATGTTATCCCTGTGTTTCAGGGTACCGTATTATTTATATACCTACGTGGGATGTGGTTGGTTTTAATTATTGTTTTCCAGTGGATTTTTAATTCTCTGATGAAATCCGAGATAGATTGAAGAGTTCAGTCAGCTTTATGGTTTGGCTCTCTATGTGTCTGCTACTTTTCACAATAGTCTTTAACATGATCAAAGAGTGCGGGTTTTATGTTCATGGAATTTTAGTTGGGAGGGTGAAGGATTCAAATTTTCATTTGGGCATGGAATTCACTGGATCATCTGGGGTAGCCCGTCTTCCCTTAGTGTACCCTGTTTCACAGGGTTGTGATCATGTAAGTGGGGAGGAAGGCACTGCACACTGTTTTGAATTCCTTGGAGAAAGACAACATATAAACATAACAAAGAAATAAAATATTTATTTTTCTATTTATTACTTCTTCATAAGTTTTTTTTTACCTCTTTAGTAAGATTATATGCCAGGCTGTACATGAGCGGTGTGCAATCAACTCGAAGGGTATAGTTCCCTGTAAGAAAATAATGAAATTACATTTTAACTGTTGTTGAGATAGAGATGATATTCTTCAGCAATGTACAGTGGTGTCTCGCTAGACAGTTACCCCTCATGATAGTTTTTTTGCTAGACATTGACTTTTTGCGATCGCTATAGCAATTTGCAAAACAGTGATTCCTATGGGGGAATTTTGCTGGACAATGTTTGGTCCCTGCTTCACAAATTGATTTTCACTAGACAACGATATTGGCAGCTCCCTCCCGCTCGCGTTCACAAACTGATTTTCGCTAGACAACAATATTGACAGCTCCCTCCTGCTCGCAAAATGGGCGTTTTTGGTATCTAAGCTTCGCAAGACAGCTATTTAAACAGCTGATCGGCGGTTCGCAAAGTGGCTTTCCTATGGCCGATCTTCACTAGACAACAACGATTCTTCCCCATTGGAACACATTAAACAAGTTTCAATGCATTCCAATGGGGAAATGCTTTTCACTAGACAATGATTTCGCTAAACAGTGATTTCAGTGGAACGGATTATCATCGTCTGGCGATGCACCACTGTATATGTAATTTGTATATGCAGTTCTGCTGGCATTCCAAACTGTTGCTCTGTGTATGTGTGTGTGTGTGAGTGTGTGTGTTGTGTATGTGTGTGTTGTGTATGTGTAGAACTGTGGCGTTAGGGGGAAAAAACCAAATTGTCCCCATCTTGTATTTCTATTCAGAGATGACAAAGAGGTCTAGTGGGTTAGTGGGACATGTTTAGACTGGCAGATCACTTACACGCTTGTATTCCCAACCGCTATGAATGAGTGTGAAGGCTGGACAGTAAAGAAAGCTGACAGGAAAACAATGTGGTATTGGCAAAGAGCTTTGTGGATGTCTAGCACTGCCAGAAAGACAAACAAGTGGGTCCTAAATCAAATCAAGCCTAAACGATCCCTGGAGAGGAAAAGGTTGAAACTGGGCTCTCCTACTTTGGGCACATCAGGAGAAGGCAAGATTTGCAGGAAAAGACAATAACGCTAGGAAAAGTTGCAGGGGGTAAGAAAAAAGGAAGACCAAATACAAGAGGGACTGTATTTGCAAGGGAGGAGCAAACTAAAAACAAACAGGAGGAACTGTTGATCCCTATGAGAATATAAAGGTGCTCCCGTTTCCCTAGAAATCCAGTCCGGCAGTGAACTTCAAGGTACTAAGCCATAAACCTACAATTAATATCCAGGCTTTCTGCATGCAAAGAAAACAAAAAATGCTATAAAACCCTTCAGTGACCTCATTTCACAGAAATCCAAACCTGCATACCTGCTGGACCCCATGAAACCGCTCATCAGTCACTGCAGTATGACTGCTAGATTTGTGTTAATTTTCTTTAGGAGCTACTACATTTTTTAGCTCTTTATGTAAGCTGCACCAAAGGCTGCCAAGCTTCAGGTGTCTTGGTTTCCTGGTCCTGCAGCTCAGGCATGCTTTTCTCCTTCATTAAGACAATTAAGACAATATTTTGCTTTGATTTCTCTGAGCTACTAATTGTTTTGAACTCTGGATGTAGTCTCACGTGCCAAAACAACCTTGTATTGATTCTGCTGTTATTTAACTAGGTTTATACAAGTGGTGCCTCACTAGATGATGATAATCCGTTCCACTGAAATCGCTGTTTCATTGTCTAGCGAAAAGCATTTCCCCATTGGAATGTATTGAAACCTGTTTAATGCATCCCAATGGGGAAGAATCGTCATTGTCTAGCGAAGATCGGCCATAGGAAAGCCACTTTGTGAACTGCCAATCAGCTGTTTAAATCGCTGTCTTGCGAAGCTTAGGTCCCGAAAACACCTGTTTTGTGAGCGCGGAGGGAGCTGTCAAAATCGTCATCTAGCGAAAATCGGTTTGCGAAGCAGGGACCAAACATTGTCCAGCAAAATTCCCCCGTAGGAATCACTGTTTTGTGAATCGCTATAGCGATCACAAAAAGTCAATGTCTAGCGAAAAAACTGGCATGCGGGGTAACTGTCTAGCGAGGCACCACTGTACAGAAAAAACCAAGCAAAAAATCATGCTGCTTATATACCACCCCATAGCACTTAAAGCACTCTCTGAGCTGTTCAGTAGTTAATTATACAGGCTACACATTCTGTCCCCCCCAACAAGCGGGGTACTCATTTTGCCGACCTTGGGAGGCTGAGTGAACCTTGAGCCAGCTACCTGGGATTGAACCTGGATCGTGAGCAGAGTTTTGGGTGCAGCACAGCAGTTTAACCACCGCACCATGAGGCGCTTTATAAATTTCTGTTCACATGATACATGGGTAACATCAGTTAATTTGGCGACCTTGCTGGCATGGCATTTAAAAATGAATTTCTGTTCACATGACACATGGGTAACATCAGTTCATTTGTCCACCTTGCTGGCATGGCCTTTAAAAATAGTCCATTTCCAGCGGACAACAATTCAAGTTCTTTTTAATGCTGGCCTACATTTACCCAGTGACATAGCGCACCAGGTGGTGCATCAAAGTGGAAGTGCCAGGAAAATGGCATGTTGATTTTAGTGATATAACGCTTAAGCTTTTTTTAAAATAAAATAAAATTTGAGGGCAGTGGGGACCCAGAAACAGGATGGAAAATGAATCAATTTATATGAAATGGCAAGCATAGCCTTACAGAAGTAGTGCAAAGAGCAAGACATGTACCAATTGAACTGACAGCCGTGTGATACATATGATACATATGACTATACATAGAAATATATCAATATTATAAAAGCAGGAAACAAATGTTTCAAAGGGTCTGTGTGATTAGGCCCTCTGTCTCATATTTTATTACTGTAGCTTTTATTGAGTCGCTTTGCCATTTAACAGGGTTTGTAAAGTGTTTCAGGATTCATGTAAAGTGAAAAGTGGTATAGAAATTAAGTCATTTTGCCATTTAACAGGGTTTGTAAAGTGTTTCAGGATTCATGTAAAGTGAGATGTGGTATAGAAATATTTCAATAATAATAACAGCAGTGCCAGTAACAACAGCAAGGTGCTGTCAGCTTGTCTTCCAAGTCCCATTTGCTTGGTGCTGATTTTGTACTGAAGTAAATTCTTAAATTCTATTATAGCTATGTAAATAATTAGAAATTCTAATAGCCAAAGTGAACTCCCAAGCTTCATCTCGATCTACTCCTGCCGATCACGTATTAGGGACAAAAAATAAAGGAAATTTGTTTCCCTCATGGCTTTATTTCCCTTTCCAGAAATAGCCACCTCCCTTGGATACAATGAAAATCAAGAATACAACTGGAAAACAATTTTGGCAAAACCCAACAAGGTTCTTCACCAATTCTGTGGCACCCACATCCCTGAAATCCAGTTCCTGACTTAAGGATGGGGGAACGATGGTCCCTCAGACATCTTGGGCTTCCCCAGCTAGTCAATGGCAAGGGATTGTGGGAGATTTACTCAAAAACATAAGGAGGATCAATGCTCTCCACACCCACCCTAAATATAATGGCAAGGGTGTGTGTGTAATATGGCATATTCAACATTTAACCATTTGCAACATAAACCATCATTATCACAACTTATTTATCATGCTTTCCTTTCTCAGTCCAACTGTTTGTATGTTTTACCTTCAATGGAGGAATCCGCATTGATATAGGCCACTGCACGTTCTTGGAGTAATTTGACATTTTCCTGCAAAAGAGAAGACGGGAAGGCTCATTCATGTGCGTGCCTCAAACACTTGGTGACAAGCGACTTCACATGCAGAGGTTTGTAGTTTGCTCACCACGATGGTCAGCAAATGTGGATAATCATGTGTCGGATCTGCTTTGCTTTGGATCCTGGCCTTGAGCGTTGCTTCACAATGGTGGAGGGTGGGGTTTCACTTAACTTGGGCTTATTTTGGGTGTAGGACTTATTTTGGGGAAAACAGGGTATTAGCGCATACACAGCTCTGGGTAGGGCTTATTTTTGGGAAAACAGGGTATTAGTGCATATACCGCTCTGGGCAGTTTACAAATTAAAATATACATATCTTGAAGACCTCACATGGCTCTCTCTCTCTCTCTCTCTCGCTCTCTCTCTCTCTGTGTGTGTGTGTGTGTGTGTGTGTGTGTGTGAGAGAGAGAGAGAGAGAGAGAGAGAGAGAGAGAGAATATATGTGTGACATTTAAAAGGGGGAGAAATCATTAAAAAAGAAAAGAGAAAACAAGAGATGTTTTGCTTTGAATAGCAAAGGTAATCAGCTTTGAATAATTATGTTTTTAACTGTTTAAAGACATCACTCTTCTTCCAGAAGCTTATCAGACAGCTTTGCACAAATTTTATGAAATTATTCCCATCTCAAATAGAAGTGGAATTTGCTTGCCTTGTGGGATTGTTTTAAAGATTGCAACCAGATGATGTACGTGAACCTTCTGGACATATACCTTTGCAATAAATGCCGATACCTAGTATAGTGTAGTGGATAGTGTAATAGACTAGAACCTAGTATAGTGTAGTGGATAGAGTGATAGATTAGAACTGAGGAGGTCTGGTTTCGAATTCCCACTCAGCCATGGAAGCTCACAGGGGGAGTGTGAAACTGGTAAAATCACTACTTAAACACCTCACTTTCCTTGAAAGCCCTATTATGGTCATGATAAATTGGTCCCAGCTTGATGGCACATCTCTCTCTCTCTCTCTCTCTCTCTCTCTCTCTCTCACACACACACACACACACACACACACACACACACACACACAAATGCTAAGGATTAGTATTAACTTACTATTTATTTACCTCAGCCCACTCTGTGGAGCCTATTAAGCCAAACTCCTCAGCATCCCAGCTGGCAAATATCACCGTTCTTCTAGGTCGCTGTCCTGCGGGCATGACATTTAGAGCACCATTAATATGACAGTGCCCAGAAAAAAGATAGCCGTCACAGAACGAAGTTGTCAGCGAATAACATTAAGCTGGAACCCCTATGGTTTGAGATTGAATTTAGAGCCAGCATTCTGCAGTCAACCACAACTGGAGGTCAGGATTCTAATAAGTAATTAAGGAACAAAGTTGTCGCTTAAAGATTCCATCCGCCCACGCCAACCAAAGCTTGCATTCAGATATAATGTGAAATCATGATCACTGGTATCAAAAGCGACAGAAAGGTCCAGCAGAACCAGCAGGGACACGCTCCCCCCTCCCCAGCTGGCAAATATCACTGTTCTTCTAGGTCGCTGTCCTGCGGGCATGACATTTAGAGCACCATTAATATGACAGTGCCCAGAAAAAAGATAGCCGTCACAGAACGAAGTTGTCAGCGAATAACATTAAGCTGGAACCCCTATGGTTTGAGATTGAATTTAGAGCCAGCATTCTGCAGTCAACCACAACTGGAGGTCAGGATTCTAATAAGTAATTAAGGAACAAAGTTGTCGCTTAAAGCTTCCATCCGCTCATGCCAACCAAAGCTTGCGTTCAGATATAACGTGAAACCACAGTCACTGGTATCGAAATCAGCAGAACCAACAGGGACATGCTCCCCCCTGTCCAGTTCTCAGCATAGGTTCTCCACCAAGGTGACCAAAGCCATCTCTGTCCCATAACCAGGCCAGAAGCCTGACTGAAATAGATCTAGGTAATCCATCTCATATAGGAATTGCTGGATCCCTTTTTTCCCTCCCTCATTCCACACACATAAACTAATTGGATTGGCAGTGTTCAGACTTCAACACTGGTGATGGGACAGGACCTACCATTGCATCTGGGGAAAACAGGCAAGCTGAGTGTGAAGTTGGTTTGTTTCAGTTAATTATTGTTAAATCTAACCATAGTTCCTAGTTTGAACATAGTGGTCAACTGTGGTTCACAGTTATGTCCAAAAGAGACCTTAGATTTGTCTATAATTAAATCAGTGGAAACTCCCCATTTGTTATGGACATTTGATTTTTTTAATGACAGCTATACTGCTTTTTGAGGACGCGGTGGCGCTGTGGGCTAAACCGCAGAAGCCTGTGCTGCAGGGTCAGAAGACCAGGCAGTTCCACACACATAAACTAATTGGATTGGCAGTGTTCAGACTTCAACACTGGTGATGGGACAGGACCTGCCATTGCATCTGGGGAAAACAGGCAAGCTGACTGTGAAGCTGGTTTGTTTCAGTTAATTATTGTTAAAGCTAACCATAGTTTCTAGTTTGAACATAGTGGTCAACTGTGGTTCACATTATGTCCAAAAGAGACCTTAGACTTGTTTATAATTAAATCAGTGGGAACTCCCCATTTGTTTTGGGCATTTGATTTTTTTTTATGACACCTATACTGCTTTTTAATGAGATGATTGTGCTGCTTTTCTTGATGTTTTTACAGCCGTGTTGTCTGGTTGCTTAGTTTATTTTTAATATGAGGTCTTTGTGAGAAGGCATGATACAAAACACCAAGGAAAGAAATAAACAAGACTTCGTATTTTGAAATATCTCAACCTCACCTTGTTGTTTCAGCTTCCCAAAGCTTCTGACGATCTCATGAACAACAGCAGCTCCACTTTGAGGGTCAATCCCACCAAATACCCAAGAGTCCCGGTGGCCACCCAGGATAACATATCTATCTGGAACAAAGGAGATGAAAATTTACATTCAAGTGAGGTAATAACATTATTATTATTCATATTATTATTGGTAATGATTAAGCAGGCACTCAAAGACAGTGTGGGGTTAGAGGAGACAGATTATTGATTGATTGATTGATTGATTGATTGATTGATTGATTGATTGATTGATTCATTCATTCATTCATTCATTCATTCATTCATTCATTCATTCTATTTGTACACCCCCCCCTACCT